GCCTCCGATGATCTGCTATTAATAGAGGTCCCTTGACAGGTATTCTGGCTGGACCTTAATCCATATTAATTTAAGCGTCTTCGAACGGTATAAACGGAAACTGTGTTTCTATGGACATCATTTATCGTTGAACAAGTATTGGTGCTGATAATGTACGATGGCGTAATGCTTGTAACTTAAGAAAGCGATCTTCAACTTGACTTGTGGTACTTCGTCTACTTTGACCTGGCCTCCTGTTGAATTGTCTTGTTTCCTGAAATCATCAAACACTGTACTTCGAGAAATTCCTAAAGCAGTTGCGAAATTAATACTAAGCCACTATTTCACATTAATAACAGAACGTATGTATAAGAGTGTTGTTTGCACAAAACATCTTAACAGGTTCAAACAAGAAAAAAAACATTATCGCTAATAGGGCATAAAATAAAAGTCAAACAATTTTGATCTAAACACCAACAAAAAACAAAAAAATCTTAGTGTCCGGTTAATTTTCAATCCCAGCGTATAATAGTGTATTTGCATAATATATTTGTACGTACTTATTGACTTATTATTATCTATAATTCACAAATTAAAACTAAAAGTTACAAATAGTCATAGTAAAAATTGAAAATAATGCTTTACTCCTGTCTAAGAATTTATTACATTAAAAATTCAACTGGTACTACAAAAACCAAAAATGTACAGGTCAAACCTTCAAACTGCTCACGTCCAATAAAATCTTGGTGAATAATAAGGTTGTAAATTTTTTACAAATTGTGTCAAATCAAATATAAAAATAAAAAGGAAGTACTTAAAACTCAATTACTAACAAATCAGTTTAGCCTTCGCCTTCTTTACACTAACGAATTAAAATAGTACAGTACTCCTAGTGGGATGACACTATTAGTACCGCCTTTATTATTGATATCGTCTATTACTCTAACTATATTAAGTACTATACTAAACTCTGAAGCATAAGTTAGGGATATAGCTTAAAATTAAATAAATATTAATATGTACAATAAAATTGTGTTCCACTGTATAAACCATTTCATTTATCTACATTAACAATCAGTACTAGTTTTTTAAATATTATTTTAATATGGGATTATGACACAATGTTTGGTTGTAATGAAAATCACATTAAAAAAAAACTACTTTCGACATCACTCCGGAAATCGTTCTTAAAAAAGATTATTATAAAAATTTTTTATCGGTCGAGATAACCGATATGTTACCTTCAAGATGTCACTGGTACTCTTGTTTGCACTCGAACTATTCGAAGATGTTTAAAAATATTTGGTTTGGTATTTAGAAGTACTTTGAAGCATCTACCATTGATCTCATAATATCGGCTTCAAATATTAGATTGGACTAGAGCACATTTTAATTGGAGAGATGAACAGGACCGACCAGACGGGGGACAGGGGGGGCAAAACTCCGTTGGGCCCGGGCCCGGCCGTTAGCAAATTTAAAAAAAATCCTTTTATTAAAATATTTTACAACAGATTGAATTTGCTTGCGGCTTTAATTATGAAACTATTATAAGGAATATTATGCATTTGGAAAAGGCAATATGCAAGAAATTATTTCTTTGCACCAGTTACAATTAATAAAAATATATCGGGAATACATTGCGCGTGGGAGCCCCTGATCGGAAGCTCGCTCTATCGGCCACTGCCACACGATTCGCAGAAGCGCTGACCTTGGCGCGACGTCTGTTTTCAGAGGAAGAGGAAGACTTTTCACGATGAAACAGCTACAGATGATGTAATGTTAAATTTATCCCCGGAAGAACGCTTTAAAACAGAAGTGTTTTACACAATAATTGATGTTTTGGTGGCCAACCTGAAAACGAGTTTCACAGCACTGAGAGAAATCGAAATGAAATTTTCATTTTTATGGAAGTATAACGAAATGGACGAGAATACGATCTCAGAAAGTTGTGTAAGATTCGCCGAAGAGTACAATTCAGATGTAAGCAGGGATCTAGTTGATGAAATGATTTACGTCGCTGAAACCAGCAAAACTTTTGAACAAGCTCGTGTCCCTTAATGTGATAAATCTTTTCCCCAATGTATGCATTGCTCTTTGCATATTCTGTTGCCTACCAGTATCCGTTGCTCAGGCCAAGAGATCATTTAGTGTTTTGAGCCAAATTAAGAATGATTGTTTAAGATCTACTATGGGTCAACAACGATTATCTGATTTGGGACTGTTAAGCATAGAGTCGAAACTTGCAAAAACTCTTGATTTCGACCACGTGATCCAAAACTTTGCGGATATGAAAGCAAGAAAAGTTATGTTGTAACTAACAGTTCTATTGTAAATAATTAAAAACAAAGTTTAATTGTTAAAACTGTTTTAATTTTCTTCCTTCCTGTGTCAATAGCATGAGTGTTCACTATTACATATCCCAGTTTATGAGTTATCAGATTTTTGGGAATTTTCGTTCAACTGGGTTTGGGGGGGGCGCGGGTCTCATCCAGGGGCCCGGCCTGGCCTTGGGCGGCCCTGGAGATGAATGGCATTCAATATTATTCACAGACGAGTTCAGATTTTACCGATTATCAGATAGCCGTCGAGTACATGTATGGACAAGACCAAGAGTACCAAGAAATCAAAGACCGTGTCAGGTGGTAGTGTTATGGTTAGAACTAGAGTTAGAACTTATAACAACGATTAAGGAAAGAAAGACCCCGTACCTAGGAAACATAAAGAGAAATGACAAATATAACCTGTTATGATTAATAATTGAAGGGAAGGTAGAGGGCCGAAGAGAAATAGGCAAAAGACCCAAAAGATCAGAACTTGGACGAACATGAACATTCAACGATTATTAAGAGTGCACCAGACATTTTAATGAAGTGATCACAAACTTCCACTAATAGAGTTCACCAGAAGAAGAAGGAATTATGATTCAAGCAGGAATATGTTTCAGTGGAAGAACAGATATCTACGTTTGCCAGAGCACTATGAATGGTGAGGTGTAGAGACAAGACATTATTAATCATCATCTTCTTCTTCTTAGTCCTTATAAGCAATTCTCCTTGTTCATTGGCGGATTAATACCTCTATGGAAGGTTTTCACTCCATCTTTTGCGCTTCTGCCGATTGGTGACATCTCTTGCTATTTTAACGACAAGGGTCTCCCGCACTCTGCTTATGTGGTTATCCCATTCTTTTTTTCTATTTTGTGTCCGTTAATATATACACTGTACGTTACATTTTCTACTAATTTCTTCACTTCTCTTTCGATCTCTCAGCGTATTTCTTGTAATTCTTCTGTGCTGGGTGATGTTTCTGAGGCATATGCAATTATTGGTCTTACGCTGGCATTATAAATTCTTGACTTCATCTTCTTTCATTCATCTTTCGCTATATAAGTGTTATTAGGGCATCCTGTCAGTCTATTTCCTTCTTGTACTTGACCTCTCACTATTGTTTTGGTTTTCTGAGATGAGATTGTCATATTAAATTCTTTTGCTCTTATGTTAAATCTCTGGACCAGTCTTTGCAGACTATCTTCATCTTGGGCTATCAATATTGCCATCGTCTGCGTAACAGAATATTTTTATTTTTTTTTGTTTTCTATTATGTATCCTGTTCCTTTATTAAAGCTTATGATAATATCATCCATGATTAAATTAAAGAGCATAGGGGTCAATGAGTCCCCTTGTCTTATTCAACTGCTTATTTCTATCGGTTATGTAAGTTGTCCATCTATTCTGACTTCCATTTTTTTGTTTTGGTAGATGATTATTATTGTTGTATGTGAATCAATGTATGTGATTTCCTCATTTAAAATTACTCTCACGCTCTACAGACTTCTATCCCATTGAACATGCTTGGGACATGCTACAAAGAAGATTTACAGATCACTTACCCCCTCCGTAAACTCCACTGCAACTTCGTGAACTGTTACCACGGTTATGGGGAGAAATTGCTCAAGTATCTCTTGATAATTTAATAGTATGCCATATAGAAGTTAGCAATAATAATTAAATGTTTTTTTAAAATCATTTTTGAGAACAATTTTCGAAATGAAAATTGAAACGTAAATAAACATTATTTTATCCTTCAATTGTGGCTTATTCACATTAAAACAGTAATTACTTTAAAATGCAATAGGAAAATAGCTTCAAAGCAATATTAAGAAATATCCAGGGTTGCATTTGGACCAAAAGCTCAGCTGGAAGCAACACATTAATGCCAAAAAACTTGAAACAAACGAATTGGTTACTTTACAGAAAGTCACAACTGTCATTGGAGAGCAAAATACTGCTTTAGAAAGTCATACTAAAACCAATATGAACTCATGGCGTAGAACTGTGGGGCTGTATCAGGCCTCAAAACACAAAATTTTGGAAACCTTTCAATCAAAAACACTGCGTATGATAACTAAAGCCCCTTGGTATGTGAGCAATGCAACCATCCACAATGACCGAGGAGTACCCACTGTAAAAGATACCATATTACTCCACGCCAACAATGGCAAAATTCGCAATTGATCACACCACAGCCAAATTTTCAGTGAATTATATCAGCCACCAATCGAGGACCGAAGACTGAAGAGTTCTTGGCCAGAAGATTCAGATATAAAGGTGAAAATGTGTTGGATGAAACTAAGTTTTATCTATGTCTGTTTCTCAATGACATTGTATGCGAAGACAAATTTTCAATGTGTACTAATTCACCTGTATTTGTCACCTTTTTAGCTTGCTGCTTCTTTGGAATGGCAATAAAAACAGACTTAAGTTATTTCTCAGGCATTTTACTAGTAGTATAGATGTGATTAAAAAGCTTAACTAGAGCACTGATGTGGACTAGTTAAGCTAAATTATTATCAACCAACAGAACAAAATAATTTGTTTAAGGTGCTAATTTCGAGGTTTCAGAACCTACCTTATTGGGGCATATAATATTTATATGTAGACTATATGGTATCTAGTATTTAGTATCTAGTTTTCTGTATCTAATATGTAGTTTTTCTTATAAAGGTTTTCTTGTTGTTTCAGAAAATTCCAGATATCCCAGCAATGAAAGCATTAATAACAATGGAAATATTCCACTGGGGAACCGATTAGATAGAGAAATTACTCCACAAACAAACAACGCATCTAGAACACATGACAAAAGTCGATCTCAATCTTTATTTAATATAGCAAAATTTCACAAAACGATATCGATGATTGACGATAACCACTTAAACGGAATTGAAGAGAGTCCGAGAGAGAAAAGTTATCGCAGGGGATCGCTGCCCCTTGAACAGGTTAGTTATATTACAATTTTGTACGTACTAAAATATGTATATATAGATATTTCCGTTCCCTCAGTGAGTTGTCATGTTTCGCATCCATAAAGTACACCGCTTTTAAAAAAGCTGTTATATAGCTGCATCTTTTTCTGTTTAGTGATAGTTTTTGACCAGAGTAGTGAGTTTAGTGCGCTTATTATTTGTTTCACTTTTGCAACTCGTTCTTCGATATCTGTTTTAGTGCATCCATCTCTTTTCATCCTTGCCCCAAATAAATATATTCGAAACATGATGAAATTACATTTCTATTTTCTAAGTTTAGTTAATTGTTTTCAGCTCCTTCTAAGCAGATGTATTTCGTTTTTCTTGAGTTAACATTTAGTCCCCATCGCTCGTATTCCTGTGTTAATCGCTTTGTCATGAAATGAAGATCTTCCTGGTCTTGTGCGATGACTACTTGATCCTCTGCGAAATGGAGCGTATATATGAAGGTTTTTTCCGTCCTTTAATGGTACATTCGTTCCAGAACATGATCTCCATGTCTTCAGTGCCTCACTCAGGTAGATTTTAAAGAATGTTGGAGATAGACTGTAGAATTGCCGTAGTCCCTTTATTATCTTAAGATTCTCGAAGAACCAGTTGTTAATCTTTATTTTTGATCGAAGATCTTTCCATCTTTCCTTTAAATGGGGGTAAACTTGACTGAGCATATGGGACAAAGCTGATAGGTCTGTGGTATTCTTGAATTGTGGTTATAGGATAATATGTTGATCCCGTGATATTCATTAAGAGCATGTTAAGTTGTTCAAAGTTTAGAGTGTCATTTTCTATGAAGTTTTTAGCAGGGTCAAGTAAGAGAGAAAATGAGCATTCAGAAGTACTTGCTTAACTAATTTTAGCTTTTTTGGATTTTGCTTAGACTTTAGACGGTGGAAAATATTACATTCTTAAAGATAGATCTGCTTTAGGTGAAATAATTTCATCAAAGTTACGTTTTGGTTGATTAATTATGTGATTGTTCTTATTTGATGCATTTACTTTGTTCGGTATCTCCGGGATATTAGAAATAGACATTTGTTCACACTGAGAAGGGTTTGTGTCATTGGGGTTTGTCAAGGATATATTTGTTGCGTTGGATACCGATGCTTCATTGTTTTGGTTGGGGTTTAGTTGAGTTAGTGATTCGGAGCACTGTGAAGCAATGTGATCTGGCTTCTTGTATCTAAAGCAAACTAAACTGTCTTGAGAAATGAATATTCTATATATCGTGTTGTCAATAACAAGAGTAAATAACTCTGGTAGTGTTGGACGTGAGGACTGATATATATTTGTCTTCGAAAGCTAAGGATGCGATTGTACTCAGGAATAGAAGCACTTATTTTGAAAAATGTCCTGGGGGAAGACAGGAACTATGCCGATTTTTTGTAACTCATTGATTAGCAAGTCGTGCGGTATTGAAGGATATAAGCCGGAGAGCACAAGTCGTTCTGCTGGTGTAACTAACCTTCTTGCTCTGACAATTTCACCTTGTATTTCTATTTGACCATGATCATTCATAAAATCATCCACTATTTGTTTATTGGATAAATACATACATATGCGATTATTAGATAATCTAGAAGAAAAGATTATATTTTTCGGTTGAATTATATTTCCAAGTGGGAGAAGGTAGTCTTGAAGTTTGGTGTTTTCTAAGGCACTAAAGATAATTGCTTGGGACTTTAAAGGAAATTGCACTGTCGACGTTGCTAAAGAGTATGACTGTGATGCGTTTATTTGACTTTGATGGTCTTGTGTTGTAGGACTGTTGTGTGATTCCATATTTAAATTTATTTCGATAAACATTAAGTGAAAAGTAAGTCCGACCCTGTACACCTGCTAAAATAGGTATATCGGTCTTTACTAAAAGCGGTTATTTTGCTGGTAAAACTGGATTTGTTTATTGACAACAATAAAAAATAATTGCAATTTGCTGAATTTAATGCCAATTTAACTAGATATTATGTAAAGAGTTTGTACACTTACAGTTTATTTCAATATATCACTGAGCTTTACAATTTATAACTGATATTAAACTTTGTTAATGTGAAAAATATTCGGAGCCCACATTTATACAACATTATAGTTATCGATGCAGAACCGAACTCCTTATTGTGTTTTTGCTAGATTTATTTTTAATCCAATTTATTTTGATTTTTTATTTAAGTCTAGTAGCATTTTCTGTAATTTTTTCTGTAATTTGCAACATAATAAATGTGTCTAATAGGCATAACTTCAATATTAGATCACAATACTTCTTCAACTCTGCCTTCAAGCTGTAATAAACTGAATTATATACCATGCTGTCCATATGTATGGAATAAATTCATTTTTAGCGTTATTAAGTACTATGTGAAAAAAACCTGAAACAGGTCGATTTTTATTCTTAAATTGACAATTAACAGTATGAAAATAACATCCTCCTTCACCACCCCCTTTGAATTTGAATAAGCACCCCCTCGAAAATTTTAAATAGCAAAGTGGGTCGTGTAGCACCTTGTTAGAAAGGGATTTTAGTCCTCTATTTAGTAATATTAAGTTTTTTAAGTTTGGTTCAATAATAACCTAGAAAATTGATTTTTAAAATGTAAAACTTTGATAATGTCTTTACAACAAAACTTTAGGTTGAATGAAGATAATAATGTCACATAATATTTAGAATGTATTTTTCAAAGTACTTTACAATTAAATTAAATGTTCAAAATGACCACTATTCACTTCTTGGCAATACCCGAGGCGATTTTGGAATTCTCGTAGAACATTTTGTACGACTGCGGGAGTTATTGTGTTAATTTCTTCCGCTATCCCAACTTTTCAAAGAGCAATACTGTTTGGTCTAGTAAATTATACTTTAGATTTTAAATAACCCCATAAGAAGTAATCGAGAGGAGTCAAATCGGGGAATCTAGCCGGCCATTCGATTGTTCAACGTCTTCCTATCCACCTATTGTGAAAAACCTCGTTTAAATAATTTCTAATTATAAGTGCAAAATGCGGTAGATTTCCACCTTGTTGGTAGTAAAAAGGTCCATCTATCTAATTTGGATGATTAACATTGGGAAAATATCTTCGTAATGTAGGCACTAAAAAGATATTGTTCTGAAGCTATTTTCTTGTGGCATTGTAAATTAATTACTAATAAACTGGGAATAAGCCACAATTAAAGATAAAAATACGTTTATTGACGTTTCAATTTCCACTTCGGAAATCGTTCTCAAAATACAAACAGTAAATTAAACAAATTTTGTTTTTTGTTACATAGTGAAAAATTCTTCTAATAATTTAATTTTATCTGACTCATTTATATTGACAATTCAGACATACATTATGCATTTTAAAGTAGACGACTTTAAAATGATATTGCCAATATTGTTGAGTTGCGCTCCTGGGACGACTTTACTTATAAGATAGTTCATTCGATTACATGAAATCAACTTTAACTTGAGAATATCCGTCAGAAAAAATCATAGCATGTAATTTGTCTTTAAAAAGACAAACACATGACATGATGACAGTAAAATTCTCCTGTTCGTGATTCCATAGTAAATTATGAGGGAAAACCAGGAAAAAACCTCATAATACTATCCCGACATTGTAAGTATTTGTTCGTGAATTTAGTTTACCTTCAACAAACATCAAAATTCTGATTTTATATGTTACGTTATTTAAAAAACATAAATGAAGTATCCTCTATATGTTACTGACTTACTAATGCTGGTATTTTCTTATTAATAACTTCCTCTTTCAATATTGGTAACCAGATCCTACTACATTCTGCCGAAGAATTTGCGACACAATTGGCCTCATTTAACATAATTAGAGCCGCTTCTTTGATTTTTCTTTTTTTACCATCCGTTTCTTTTAGGACTACATTTGAATTACTCCATTGAACCCTATGTTCATTATCCCATGCATGTTTACAGATTTGAGATCTATCAAATTCTTTATTTTTAATATAAGATTGATGTTCACTTATTCTAACATTTAATGGCCTTGATGATTCACCTAAATAAAACTGATCGCATTCACAAGGTATTTTATAAATGCAATTCTTTGTCCTTTCTTGTTCATTGTTAGGTTTGGTTTTGGACAAAATAGATCTCAACGTGTTTGTTGTTTTGAATGTTGTTGAAATGTTGAATTTATTTCCTATCCTTTTAAGTTTTTCTGATAGTCCTTTTATGTACGGTATTGTTATTTTCCTCATATTATTCCTTGTGTATGCTGTAGGATCTCGTTCTAAGTTGTTCTGTTCTATTCGATCGATTGTTGAAAATTCCTTATTTATAAACGATAAAGGATAATCATTTTTTAATAAAACAGATGTTAACAAATGTTTCTCCTCCAAGAACGAATTTTCATTAGAACAAGTAATTTTGGCTCTATCGTATAAGGATTTAATTATTCCCTTTTTTACATTAATATTGTGATTTGATTTGAAATTTAAATATCTATTGGTGTGTGTTGGTTTTCTATACACCTGAGTCTCATATCCAGTATCGTTCTTAGAGATTAAAACATCCAGGAAAGGTAGCATGTTATTATATTCCTTTTCCATGGTAAATGTTATTGTCTCTTCTTTATCGTTTATATCATTTAGGAATGTATCCAACAACTCTGATCCATGAGGCCATATTGAGAATACATCATCTACATACCTCCACCATACTGTGGGTTTGAAATTTTGTTTAGAAATGATATTTGTTTCAAAATCTTCCATAAATATATCGGCTAAGAATGGAGATAAACTAGAGCCCATTGCTAGACCAAAATTTTGTTTATAGAATTCATTATTTAGTTGAAAATATGTATTATCAGTACATAATGTTAATAACTCCATTATAGCCGATATAGCCGATTAGTTTTGTTCTAGTTGCCAATGAATCATCACTTTCTAATTTTGTCTTGACTATATTTAAAGTCTTATTTAATGGCACATTCGTAAATAAACTATTTATGTCAAAACTTACCAAAGT